GAGACAAGGATGCGTAGTCGGCTGGGTCGTGCAAGCGCATGCCATCGCTGCTGCTGTTGCTGCTGCTGCTGACGCTGCTGTGGCTCGAGACGCCGCGTCCTTCGACCGAGTTGGACCGGCGCTTGGCCTCGGAGCTCATGGACGAGCTGCCCGAGTGCAGCTCTGTGCCGCCAAACCGCCGCCGGGCGTCAGCGTGCAGCTCGGTGTGGTTGAGCCGGCGCGCGTCGACATCGGGGCGAGCGAGCAGCTCGGTTGCGTTGAAGCGCGCGCGGTTCATATCGCCAACGAGCAGCTCTGTCGAGCTCATGTGCGCCCGCTGCTGTAGGTAGTCGTGTGGCGCCGAGTCGCTGGTGCTGCTTTCGGATCGCAGGCCGTTGCTGCTGGCGCTGCTGCCGTGCTGCCGATCTTGGAGCTTGGCGATACGTTGTTTGATGTGCTTGCGGCGCTGCTGCAGCATGATGTTGTCGACGTCCTTGGTCTTGGCCATGACCACTTGCTTCAGCTGCGTCTTGAGCTCGTCGAGCGAGAGCCCTTCGTCGCGCTTAGCGCGTTCCTTCAGAATCTCTTGCTGCTTGGCGACGATCGACTTCTTGAGCTCGTGCTTTTGCGCGAGGAGCTCGTCCATCGCACGGCCGTTCGGTGGTATCTCTGCGATCCGCTTGACGACGGCTCGCTACGACGCCATTTTCACATCACAGATCACGTAGCGACTCGTACCAAGTCGTTCTTGAGGTCGTCGAGCGACGGCGTCGGTTTGGCGGCGATGACGAGTCGGTCCGTGGCGGCGCTGAGTTCTGTTTAAAGCTCGGTAGCCTTGCGCTTGTAAGGGTGTAAGTGCATCTCGCGTGCACGATCGCCTTGGGCGGCGGCCTGCATGGCCTGAGCCATGGCGGCGCGCTAGAACCCACGCTTAGCAATGTAGAAATGGCATCCGAAATGCGTACAAGTTGTTGCTGGAGGGCCTCGGCAAGCACTTAATCTTGGGCGACCGCGGCCTTGAGGCACGTTCGGTCGCGATGCAATTTGGAGATGACGTGGGACTGGGATCGTGGCGTGCTCGCGAGCTGCGCCGGCACGATGCGGAGTTCCTTCTTGAGCTGCTCCGGTCGCCTCGCCGCAGACACGTCGTCGTCGTTCTCGCTCTCGTTGTCTGTGTCGACGTCGTTGCCGTGGAGCGACCGAATCGACTCGGTGATCCGGTCGACGTCCAACGCCGTCGGCTGCTCGTCATGGAGCGAGTTGAGCGAAAGCCGCTGCGAGTCGCGGACCACCAAGAGCGCTGCGCTGCAAAGCTATGGTCGGGCGACTGCACCATCGCCACGGGCGCCATGAATGTTGGCAGTGGTAAAAACGGCGCTGGCGGGGGCGGTGTCGGGGGCATCTGCGGCATTTGAGGCACCGATGGTGACGCGTCAAGCGCGAGCGGCGGCGGGGGTAGGGTACGAGGCTAGGAGGAGGTTAGGAGGCGACTCGGACACCGGCGACAAGCTCTCGGCAAACTCGACGGGCGTGCCGGGGAGGTCGGGCAAGTCGACGAACGCCGACGTCCGAAAGTCGTTGGCGTCGTACTCGAACGCGAGGCTTTTCCTTGCGAGGGCTTGGAGCGGCGACCCGAGGTGTTGCTGCTTCGGCGCCCACCGAGCACTTCCATGTGGACAACCTCCTGCATGCACTCGCCCGTTGTCTGCAGCTCCTTCAAAAACGCTTTGCGGGCGAGGTACATGGCGCGGTCGTCGTTGACTATCGTCTTGGCGATCGCATCGACCGTCTCTCGCTACGATGGGGTATACGATACAGAGTGTGCGGAAGGACGTTGTGTACCAAGGCGCTGCGTAAATACGACGTCTTGCGCTCGAGGAGGTCGACCTCGGTTAAGCAAGAGAGCTGCGTGCCGCGAGCCGACCGCTTCGAGGCGAGTTCGTTGGTAATTGCCAGCGCCTCGAGCGTCGTGACCACGCGCGACTGGATGACGTTGCTTAAGACGAGCGCTTCGTTAATACACCGCTGGCGGCAAACTCGAGGCGCGATGCAACGTAGATCGTGGTCTCGAGGAACGCGTTCGTGAGACCCGGCATCGCGCAAAAAGGCGTCGACGTGGTCGCGCGCCATCTCATCATCCTCGTCATCGTGGTCTTCGTCGTCGTTTCCGGAGGGCGGTGCGAGGTCGTCTCCCGAGACGAACCGGGCCTGGAGTCGTAGTTGTGTCCTTGCGCGCGCCGTGTACGACGAGCAGGTGGTGCGAGAGCACGAGAAGGCGGGGAAAGCGCGCAAAATTCTCAGTCTCGTGCGTCTCGGGCGAACGCGCGCAGGTTGCGGCGAAGGACACCGATTTAGGAAACTAGTCAATGTGTGAGGCGCAAGTGTCGTCAAAGATATGTGGTACCTACTGCCAAACGCGAACGAGCGCCGGGCCAACGCACTCGAGAACGAGGTCTGGCCAAGAATACCGTGGACCATGGGCGGCCACTGTAGGTGACCGCCAAGGGCTGGAAGATCCGGTCGCCGGTAGCTCGAGCAGAGAACGGATCTGATGCGAAGTGGCGAGAGTTTTGTGACGGGCGGTATGTTGTCGCCGGTCTTGGTGCCGACTGCCGTGTGCAAGCAGCAGGACGTCAAGCGTGAGGTACTCAAGCTCGGAAGCATCAGGCTCGATGTCGCGAGATGACGCGCGCGCTTCGAACGCGACGTGGCGCTCGCGCAGCTCCTTCTGCTGCGGCGGCGGCGGCGTGGCTCTTCGTCGTGCCGACCATTTTCGATTTGCACTTGGTCCTGGTATCCGGAATGTGTCCGGATATGATGCAACAAGCACGGGTCATCGTTCGCGCACATGCGCTTGAGGTTGTCGCAATTGGCGTTTGTCTCGGCGCATCGACTATGTAAATCACAGCACTTAGGCAAACAGAATGGCATTTCTACCGCTACGATGGCTACGACCAGCGCTGCATCGACGCCAGCAGCCGCGGCCTCGCCTGTGTACACTGTACACCTGCGTCAAGGCACTAGCGCCGACGCTTGATGGTTCCGACGCTGCTCAAAACGTTACTGGTACCACCAATCGTGCTTGGTGTGCCATCGGTCCTCAACGAGAAGCATTCGCATGTTACATAAGGACGCAGCGATCTTTGCAAGCGCTTGCCTGGTGAGCATATGTCCTAAATGACAGGAATGCGTGACGGAAGAAAGACCT